GGGGGGGGAGGAGGAGGAGGAGGCAGCGGCGGCTAGCCAACCATCACTTCTGCAGAAAGCAGGAAAAATCCGCTTGGAAGCATTATAGATGTAGATGTCTATGCCTCATGACCGCTCAGCTGGTTTTAACTGTTTCAAGCAATCAGTAAGGCTTCCAAAACCAGAAATGACTTAGAGCTCTGTGTCAGACTCATCATCGCTCACTGTCTTTTCATAAAGTCACTTCTGGCTTATTGAGAAGAGAGCTGAGACTTACTGTTGATAATTCTACCATTCATAATTCAAGCTGCTGTTGCAAGCTGCTTTGATTTTTTCTGGTTGATAGCCAATGTCTCTCAATTTCCTAGGGTTTTTTTTTTTCCTTAAGAGTATTATTTGGGGGGACTGAGATGGAGAATGGGGTTAGCAAAGATCAACACTGCTTTAGTTGTGGTTAGCTCTAATTAGCCTGAGGTCTTCCTCTGCAGGGAAGCACTTTGCTACAAACTTCTCTTTCAATGCTGTGGATTTGATACTTTGCAAGGCAAAGTGAATTCCTGCATGTCTACAACAGAAATGGTTTGTTCCTTGCCATGACTTGGAAAATGGATGAATTGTTGTTGCCTTTTTGCCTTTCTGGTATGAGAATTGGAATCTTCTATTCCTCAAACTGGTTTTGATGTGGATCTGCCCCTTACCCAAGATAAAAGCAAAATACGTTCTAATGACCAAAGATAACTGTGCCATGGGGGGGGTCTACTTTCCACATATTTGAGAGGAAATTATGTATAATACTAGACAATAAGTCACGTTTAGAGATAAAATGCAAATTTGGGTCTCAGTTCTTATGTTAACGTCTTTGTGTCCTAGAACAGAGTTCAGCTGAACAAACTGCTTCATTGGTTCCAGCCTGTGAGGTTTTATTTCTGAAATAAACAAGAACCCAATAGAGAATGGTACACTAGACTTTGGAGACTTAGAAGGGGGTGGTGGGAGGGGGTGAGGGCTAAAAAAAACCACACATTGGATACAATATATACTATTCCCTGAGGTGTAAACTGAAATTTCCAACTTCACCACTATACAATTCATTCATGTCACCAAAAACTACTCAAAAGCTGTTAAAATAAAAAATGTATTTTTTAAAAAAAAGTAAAACACGAGCTAAAACTAAGAGGACTTACCTTGGATTTTATCATGTTTCCTGATGGGCAAATGGGTTTTCTTTCTATTTTTTACTTATTTGTATAATTGAGCATCTCTCTCTCTCTCTCTCTCTCTCTCTCTCTCTCTCTC